GTACCAGGGTCCTGCCTGTCTCCTTCAGAGCTCATCCGCCTGGAGGGACACCTGCGGCCTGCAGTGGGACCTGGGTCCCTCGGGTTCAGGTAGGACCTGTGCTGCCCCCCACCGGGACCTGTCCCCCCCCTGCGGGTCACCCCGGGGCACACGGAGGCTGCGTGGTGTCTGCTGAGATGTGCCTCTCCCCCTCCGTGGAGGGGTCTCCTGGGACTTGGGACGACTCTGGTCACGTGGTTCTTGACAGAGGAAGAGGGAGCTGCAGAGGGGCCGGTTACCTCGCCTGTGCCCAGGGCCGGAGAGCGCTGGGATGGGAGCCCAGGGGTCCCCAGAGTAGTGACATAGCGAGATGTGCTGCCACCTCATGAGCCCTGCCCAGGATTCAGTCCTGAGAAAGACACAAAACCAGACGCGAGGACCCCCTGAGCCAGGAGAAGTGAAAGTCAGGGTCGCCAGGGAGCGGCCACCCCTGGCCCAGGTCGAACAGCCTGGCACCCGCTGGCCACCAGGGGGGGCAGGAGAGGGCCGCAGGACCCGTGAGAGGCTCTGGGCCTGCTGGCGGTGGCCCTGGAGCTGTGAGAGAGCTGTGCGCATTCAGCAATGCCGTCCTGCTGTGAGGTCGCACAGTCCGGAGGGCACCGTCACCCCTGGGCACTGGCCCCGGGCACTCCATGGGCTGCGAGGAAGGGGCGGGTCCTGCTGCTGCGCTGACTCCCACTGACCCCTGGCCCTCCCCACCTACCCAGCCCAGCCAGGGGATGGCTATGTGCAGGCCGACGCCCGGGGGCCACGGGACTACGAGGACCATCTGTACGTCAACACCCAGGGCCTGGACGCCGCAGAACCCGGGGACCCTGCGCCCCTGCCCCCCGAGGACAGCCCTCAGAAAGACCTGTTTGACATGCGTAGGTGGGGGCCCCTCTCCACAGGCTGCGAGCCCCTGGGTGGGGCGGGCCGACCTGCACAGGGCCTGTCTGTGGGGTCTGTTGCTGGGCCGCTCTGGGGCCTTCCCTGGGGAAGGGCCTCGCCCTCTGGGGAGCCCTGCTCCTGCCTCTGGACCCTACTGCCAGGGCTGCCTGCCACTCGGTGAGGACCACTCTGCCCAGGGTGACTGCAGTCCGCAGGGAGAGGCACCGCTGCTCCCCAGGGATCTTGAGTCCCACAGGGGGACTCCGCTGGACAGTGTGACAGTGGAGCCTGTCCTGTTCCCTGTGGGTGTGCAGCCTGCGGAGGAGGCTCAGCCTGGGAAAGAGGCCTGGAGTGTCTCCCCTCCCCTGTCCCCGGAGCCCCTTCCTCCTTGGCACTGTGGGGGCCAGCCCCCGGGGCCTGCGGGAAGCCCATGTCTTCTGCCCTCTGTTTCTTCTGACTGCTGCCGTAGCGATGAGTGGTGGTGCCTCTTCAGTGCCCCCTGGGTCCTGGGTTGTGGGCTGTCCTGCAGGCTCTCTGAGACTGCCCACTCCGAGGCACCCCGCGGCCGCACCTTCCCGACCCGGAGGAGGCGCCCACCTGCTCCCATCCTGCCCACAGGGCCCTTCGAAGACGCCCTGAAGCTGCATGAGTGTTCGGTGGTGGGGGGTGGGGCGGCACCCCTGCCTGCCCCGGAGGACCAGTGGCCCAGCCCCCCCACCCGGCGGGCCCCAGTTGCCCCCACAGAGGAACAGCTGCGGCAGGAGCCCTGGTACCATGGCCGCATGAGTCGGCGGGCGGCGGAGAAGCTGCTCCGTGTGGACGGGGACTTCCTGGTGCGTGACAGTGTCACCAACCCTGGGCAGTATGTCCTCACGGGCATGCAGGCCGGGCAGCCCAAGCACCTGCTGCTGGTGGACCCCGAAGGCGTGGTAAGGTTCGGGGCTGGGTGGCCTCCCGGGCTGCAGGAGGGTGTTGGAGGCTGCTCTGCAGGACCCACAGCTGCTTCCAGTGGAGAGAGGGCTTGGGGTGGACACCAGTGCTGCCCGTGCCAGGGCCTACAGGGGGCCCTCTTCATCCTTCCCGGGAGGCACCTGTGCCCCGCCCCTGAGGTCCTGCTGTTGGGGCTGGTGGGGTGAGGAGGGGCCAGCTGCAGACGCCCCCCATCCCATCCACAGCTCTGGGATCTGGAAGTTTTGGGGGGGTTACCGGGATGGAACTCGGGGGCCCTCGACCCCTGAGCCGCATCCCAGCCCCATGTTGTATTTTACTTAGAGACGGGGTCTCACTGAGTTGCTTAGGGCTTCGCTGAGGCTGCTGAGGCTGGCTTTGAACTTTTGAGCCTCCTGCCTCAGCCTCCCAAACTGCTGGGAGAACAGGTGTGCACCACCGTGTCCAGCTGGAACCTGGATTGTAGGTCATCAGTTGTGTCTTTGACCTGCATTGTTTATCAGGGAGTTTTCTCTCTATCCTCTTGGTGCATTTTACAGTGGCTTTAAGCAAGTGAGATCTTGTCACCTCCAGTTTCTGAAGCGCTTTACAGTTTAAAAGCATTTTCCAGTTTACGGGGAGCTCTAGTGTCAGGCATTTTCCAGTGTCCACAGGCCTCTGGCCTCTTAGGCAGGGTCCCCTGGGGTGGAAGCCACCTCAGAAGTGCCACACGCTTTTCTGCCAGTCAGGTACTCAGGCGCCCGCCCTCCCTGACCCACCCTCAGGCCTCCCTTCCGGCCCTGGCGTGGGATGGGCCAGCTCTGTCCAGGCCTGTTCCATTTCCTTTAATGGACTCCTGCATTAGTTCAGGTGCTCTGCAGGTGGAGACGCTGAGCACTGGCCAGGCTCTTCCTGGGCATCCGTCATCTGACTCAGTGACAGGTCCCCTCCTGTAGTGCAGGTGTTGGTACCTGGTGACTCTTGACTTCTTGGCTGAAGTGCCAACCTGAGGTGCGGGCAGGGCTGAGTCCTGGGAGGGGACATCTGGGCCAGGCCCCTCCCACCTCCTGGTGGGTGCCAGCTGCCCGCAGCCTCCTGCCCTGGGCTTGGAGATCCATCTCCCATGCCCACGGCCTGCACCTCCGAGTGCTGTCCGTCTTCCTGGATGTCCCTGGTCCTAAGTTTTCTTCTGATCAGGACACCAGTCACTGGATCGAGGGCCCCCTGGGGAGTCCAGACGCTCTCGGGTTCTGGGCTGGGACCTGTCAGGACCTCTGAGAGGCCGCCCCTCCGCGCCCTGTGGGAAGTGTGGCCCAGGTCCTGCTGGCTCGGAGCCCATGTCCTTCTGGGGTTCTGAGCTCTGAGGCTTGTTCTGGGGCCCCACCTGGAGTCCTCTGACCCAGTGGCTCTGACTGTGCTGCAGATGGGCCCCGAGGGGAACATGCCGGTCAGCAGGCCTGGACAAGGCAGGGGCTGGCCTCTTGGACCAGCCCCCGAGCACTGATGCCAGGTCTCTGGTCCTGCAGGTGCGGACAAAGGACGTGCTGTTCGAGAGCATCAGCCACCTCATTGCCTACCACCTGCAGAACGGGCAACCCATCGTGGCCGCCGAGAGCGAGCTGCACCTGCGTGGGGTGGTCCCGCGGGAGCCCTGAGCCAGGGTGCGCATCCCGCCCCTGCCCCTCTGGGCCTGGCCTCCCTCCTGGCTGCCCTGGAGGACAGCTGGGACGGGGTGGGAGCAGCCGGGGGAGGGGCTCAGCACCAGGCGGGGCCCAGGAGCTGTGGGTGGGTGGTCTTGGGGCCTGCAGTAGAGTCTGATGCGGGACAGGGGTGGGCTGGAGCCCCCAGGGTCTCTGGCAGGAGAAGGGCTCTGGGGTGAGCTGGGGGCTGGGCCGAGGCAGGCGAAGGAAAGGCTGGTTTTAGGGATCTGGGCGCCCCACTGGGGCAGGAGGGGACCGCAGGGRACTGTGGAATTTTCCTGGCCCAGCTGCTGGCCAGGTCAAGCTGCTCTCCTGTCCCCATGACAACGGTCTCCTTCTTGTCCCCTTTCCTGTATCAGCCTCCCCAACGCGGGCGGCCCCTCCCTGCTCCCACCAGGCCAGAGCTCGGGGTGGCCCGCCCGTGTGTTCTGCGTGGGCAGAGCTCCCGTGTCCCTTCCCCTGGGTGTGGGACTGGGCAGCAGTGGTGGCGGCCCTCCCGCTCACAGGCTGGCATTCTGAGACAGGCTCAGAAAGGTGAAGGCGTTCCCCTGGGCCACACAGCAGGAGCGTGAGGGAGTCCCAGCCCTGTCCCAGCCTGAGGTCTCAGGGACCTGCCTCTCCTGCCCTGTCTCCGTACCTCTCCAGGTCCCTCTCAGGTCCCTGTCTCTCTCAAGCTGCTCCTAGAACGGCCATCACTGAGGCCCTGTGGTTCAGAGGAGGCAGAGCCGAGGCAGCCCTGGTCCTGGGCGGCTCACTCACCTTCCCTTCTTGCCTGCAGGCCCTGGCTCTGCTGCTGCCCAGGTGCCCTGTCGTGGCCTTGTGGTGCTCGCCATCCCTCGGACCTCTCAGGCCGGAACCTCCTCACTGCTGCTCCTTCCTCTGCCTGAGCCTCTGGAACGCCCCCTGCCTGAGCCCCACCTGCCGCCAGGCTCCTGCAGCGAGGGCTGTGACCCAAAGACAGACCCTTTCTTGCCTTTAAAGGAAATGTACCAAAACGCAGCCTCTGTCCCACGGTAGGCAGCCGTCTCCTTCCGGCTGGACTTGGCGTGTGTCCCTGGAGCGCGAGGGTTCCCGGCCCCGGTGTGGACTGGACTCCTGTCCTGGCTGGGCTGCCTTTCCAGCTGAGGAGCGGCGGCACGTCGGCTGTTTGGGGGGGAATAAGGTGCTCAGGGGTCTCAGGCCAGGCCACTCACTGACACCGGGTGGGGCAGCCTGGGGCCATGGTGGTCACAGTGGCACCTGGAAAGCCCCCGGCCCATTGGTACAGGAGGAGGGATGTGACTGCCCACCAAGCTGTGCCCAGCAGCTGCCTTGCCTTCCCCTCCCAGCCGTGGACCTGGACCGGACACTTGAATCTGTCACCCGGGGAATGGCCGCAGCCTCTATTGTGGGCCCACCTCCACACGGAGGGGTTCTGGTGGGTTCCAGAGGCCAGGCCAGGGCTCCCTGGGGGGCATCCAAGTGGAGGCCCAGGGACCAGGTCGGCCTTGGGGCGGTTGGGGCGCAGACAGTGGGCCAGGGACCTGGCTGGGAGCTACACCCTGCCTGTGGGCTGGCCCCCAACACCTCTGTTTCCACTCCAAGATAAAGTGAATTCAGCCCTGTGGACTCGCGTCGCTGGTCTCTGTGGAGACGCCTTGCAAATCAGGACCCACCTCTGGCAGGCTGGGGTCAGAGACCTGGAGACCCAGAGCCACCAGTTCACTCACCATCCAGCCATCTGCCATTGACCCATCCATCCATCTACCCACCATCCATCCATCCACCATCCAGCCACCATCTGTCCATCCATCCACYCACCATCCAACCATCCATCCACCATCCATCCATCCACCATCCAACCATCCAGCCACCATCTGTCCATCCATCCATCCACCATCCATCCATCCACCATCTATCCATCCACCATTCATCATCCATCTATCATCCATCCATCCACCATCCATCCACCATACAACCATCCAGCCACCATACAACCATCCTACCATCCAGCCACCATCCAACCATCCACCATCCGTCCATCCACCATCCATCCACCCACCCACCATCCATCCATCTACCATCCAACCATCCATCCATCCATCCACCACCCAACCATCCACCATTCATCCATCATTCATCCATCCAACCATCCTTCTACCCATTATCCATACCATCCACCTACCATCCGTCTATCCATCCACCATCAATCCTTCCACCCTCCATCCACCCCATCCATGCATCATCCATTCATCCATCCATCCATTCATCCATCCACCATCCATCCATCCATCCACTATTTATCCACCATCCAATCTATCCATCCACCATCCATATATCCATCCATAATCCACATCATCCACCATCCATCCATCCATCCACACCCATTAATCCACAATCCATCCACCCACCATTCATCTACCCAAAATCTATCCATCCATCCATCCTCCATTAATCCATCCCATCTATCCACCATCCATCCATCCTCCATCCATCCCATACATCCACCTTCCAACCATCCATTATCCATCCATCGACAGTCCATCCACCCACCCACCATCCATCCATCCACCACCAATCCTCCCACCTTCCATCTATCCCATCCATCTGCCATCCATCCACCCATCCACCATCCATCCATTATCCATCCATCTACCACTTATCTATCCATCCACCACCCATCCATCTATCCACCATCCTTCCATTCCATCTATCCATCCATCCCATCCATCTACCATCCATCCTTCCACCTTCCATCCACAATCTATCCATCCACCATCAATTCTTCCACCTTCCATCCATCCACCATCCATCCTTCCACCCTCCATCCATCCACCATCCATCCATCCATTTTATCCATCCACCATTCATCCATCCATTATCCTTCTATCCATCCACCATTTGTCCATCCATTCATCTACCCACTCACCCAACCAACCATCCACCCAACTTCCTTTAACATGTCTTCATTGAGCACCTCTTATCTGCCAGTACTTCTGGTGGACAACAGGGATGCAAAAGTGCCCAAGACAGACCTGCCCTCATGGTTTAATTTAAGTGACATTGATCATTAAATCTATAGTGACATCTGTGAAAAGGAGAAAGTCCTGGAATTCAGAGAACCGAAGCAATCTGGAGTGCTTCTTTGTGGGAATGACACAGGGACTATAATTGGAAGATAAATGGGAGAGACTCAAGAACAGGGGTGGGAGTTCTGTGCAGCACTGGCAGCAGGTGCAAAGGCCCTGTGGTGTGTGGAGTCTGACATGTTTAGGAAACAAGGCTGACTAGTGTCGCTGCAGGTAAGATCAGAGGGTGCAGGGTAGAGGACACAGCCTGAAGTGAGGCTTGATGCCAGGGGGAGCTGCTGGGTCTTTTGGGCCTGGGGTGTTGAGAGATCCTTGGGTGGGAGGTTTGGAGTTGACAGGGAAGGAATTGGGGCGGAGATCTGGAGTCTGCCGGAAGTGTTGGGCAGTGTCACAGCAGGGCACTTGTGGTGCTCATGTGCTCTGTTCCTTACCCACAGCCCTGGTTCCTCCAAGGCGCAGGCCTCACCCCCACTCCATCCTCCTGCAGGGAGGCCCGCGTCCTCCCTACTCTGTAGCTGAGAACAAGAGGAAGCACTGGAGGCCACACAGCTGGGTGGCGGAACAGGMCCCGCCCCCACACGCCCTCCTGCTGGGCTGGGGTGCCCAGGGGCCATGTGGGTGAGGGGCCTGATGCCCAGACGCTGGCCCTAGAGGCTCTCCCGCCCGTCCCCTTTCTACCTCCAACTGCCCAGTCGACAGACACTCCTTGCCCTGGCCTGGGCCTCAGGGAGATTTGGGGTGGGGGACACAGAGGGAAGGAGAGTCCTGGGGTCCTGGACGAGCTGCTGTCCTTCCCTGGACTGCCTGTTGGTCCCGCCCCAGGGGACAGGAGGGCTTGCTGTGGGTGGAGTGCCCTGGGGCCGCCCAGAGGCCTGCGCCTGGGGTCCTCCCCACCACCAACGGGGCAGACAGTGGTGTCGCCTGATGGCGCCGCAGGGGTGCCATGGCCTCTCTGGACTGGCCGTGGGCTGCCTTCCTCTGGGCCTGTGCTGGGGCTGCCCGGGAAGCCGTGGATTCAGCCTTGTCCTGGAAGGCTCCTCCTCCGGCCCCCACCTCGGGGTCGGGATTCCGGGCCACGAGGCCTGTGGAGCATGCGCCCTCTCTCTCCAGCCAGGCTCTGAACCCCAGGAGATGGCTTGGGGCGCCCTGCAGTCTCCACACTGCCCGCCCCAGGTTGTGCAGGGGGAGGCAGGGGGCCTCCCGGGCGGGCAGAGCCTTCGTCTGCTGACTGATGGGCAGTGAGCCGGCTTGAAGGGCCGCCCCTCCTGCCCCCCAGGGTGGGGGCCGAAGGGGCAACAGGGCAGGTGTGGGGTCTTTGGCTCAGTCTCCAAGCCCCCAGGTGTGGCAGGTGCCAGGAGAGGGAGCGGGGCTGGGGCTGAGCGAGGTTGATGGGTGGGGTGGCCCGCCAGGCCCGGGCCAGTACCTCCCTGGCTGGGCACTCAGCCTGGGCGTCCTGTGCTTGGCCTGGGGCTGAGGTGAGAGTCAGGGTCTGGGGCACAGAAGGGTTTGGACGCTTGCCCAGAGTCTCGCGGTGGGGAGTGTGGGCAGGGCGGAGCCCTGGCTGGGCAGTTCCAGGTTACTTTCCAGAGTTGCTCAGCTGAAGGAGCTTGGTGTCCTTCTGGACCACCCCTTCCCTTGCCTGGGCACCGGGCAGTGGTGGAGGGTGAGCCCCCGGGACTCAGACCTGCTGTGACACCAGAAGACCAGCCTGGCCCTCCTGACTTGGCCACCCCCTGTGTGCTGCGCCAGGGGCCTGGAGGCTCCCCAGGCCGTGGGGCAGCTCCTGCAGGACAGGGCATGAGGGTCCTGCTGTGCGTCAAACCTCTCCCTGTGTCTGGAAAACAGTTACCAAAGGCTCCACTGTGCCAGGTGGGGCCTGGGGTCGTGGCCAGGACCAGACCCCCACCACCTTCCTCCCAGGGACTGGGACCAGCAGGCAGGGGGCCTCGCCCAGCCACGGCCTCAGTGTGGGGGGAATATCAGGCTCCCTGGAGGTGGGGATGGCCCGCCTCTGGGGTACGTCTCCCCACCAGACAGTGGGGTGTCCTTGGGGGGGGTGGCACGGGGCAGGCCRTGGCCATGTCGGGGTGAGCAGAGCTGGGGCAGCCTTGCTCCCCATCTGGACCCTAGGCCTCTCGTGACGCCTGGTCCAGGGATGGACAGAGGCTGCTCAGGAGGCCATTCCTGGAGCGGCAGGCTCCTGGGGAATCTCTGATCTAAGGAGGCGCCGTGTCTGCCGCTCCAGTGGGTCCTGGCCACYCGCCGTCTGGCTGCCTCGCAGGGAGACTGAACGTGGAAGTGGTGCCCGGGTTCCAGGCCAGGACCCTGAGGCCGGGGGCCAGGTGAGGACGGAGGTGGAGTGGGCTGGCTGGCAGGCCACTGGGGCAGCCGGCAGCAAGGCCCTGGTGGTCTCGGCGCTGCCCTGGCCTGGCCTCAGCCCCAGCTGACCCTCCCTGGTGCACCTGCCAGTGACGTGGCCCCTCCATCGTGGCTCGGCGCCCTGTGGCCAGGGAGCCACCACCTGCACGCGTGGCACCCCCCCTCTGGGGCATAGGGCCGGGGGCCTCACCTCCCTCAGGATCTCCCAGCACCCAGGCCACTGACCCAGCCAGCAGGGCCTCAGCCACCCTGACCTGAAGAGCAGGGGCAGCTCTTGGGCCCTTGGGGGCCGTGCAGAGATGCCACAGGGCAGTGACTATCTTCTTTTGGTTTATTTACGCCTTTGTTCTTTTTAGGCGTACAGGATGGTAGAATATCATATTCTACGTACATGGAGTGTAACTTCCCATTTCTGTGGTTGTACAGGAGGTGGAGTTTCACCCGTGGTATATTCCTATAAGACCATAGAAAAGTGAGGGCCAGGGGCTGGGGATGTGGCTCAAGCGGTAGGTAGCGCGCTCGCCTGGCATGTGTGCGGCCCGGGTTCGATCCTCAGCACCACATACAAACGAAGATGTTGTGTCCACCGAGAACTAAGAAAAAATAAATAAATATCAAAATTCTCTGTCCCCCTCTCTCTCTCACTCTCTTTAAAAAAAAAAAAAAGTGAGGGCCAGTTCATTCCACTGTCTATCCCATTCCCATACCCCCTCCTTTCTCCCCATTCTCCCCTGCCCTATCTGGTAAACCTCCACCCCACCCCATTGTGAGTCAGCAGCTACACATCAGAGAAACATTCAGCCTGGGGTTTCTTGGGATTGGCCTATTTCACTTAGCCTGGTAGCCTCCTCTTCCAACCATTTACCTGCAAATGCCATTATTTCATTCTTTATGGCTGAGTAATATTCCGTTGTGTCTAGGTACCCCATTTTCTTTATGCCTTCATCTATTGAAGGGCACCTAGGTTGGTTTCCTAGCTCAGCTATGGTGAATTGAGCTGCTATGAACATTGATGTAGCTGACACACTACAGTCCACCAATTTTAAGCCCTTGGGGCATAGACCGAGGAGTGGGATAGCTGGGTCAGATGGTCGTTCCATGGCGAACATTCCAAATTTTCTGAGGAATCTCCATCCTGCTTTCCAGAAGGGTTACTCCAATTCGCAGTCCCCCTGGCCACGTCTGAGTGCACTTTTCCCCCACATCCTCCGGAGGGAGAGCAGGAGGACCCCCTGCTGCCGCGAGGCCTGGTCCGACGCTGGCCCCAGGGGGGGTTGGAGAGGCTGCGGCCGGCTCTGGCGGACGCCCTCGGCCGGTGGCGGGGGTCGGACCCCGCCGCTCCACCGCTCGCAGCCCCCCGCCCCCGGACCGGAGGCTCCGCCCCGCGCGGCGGCCGCACTCGGAGGAATACGGCGCGGTGGGCGGCTCCGGCTGCGGGCACTTCGCTGCGGCCGCTCGAGCTGCGCCCGGGCCTGCGCCGAGCCTGCGAGTCGCCAGCTGCGTCCCTGTCCCTGTCCCGTGGCCGGTGAGTCAGGTCCGCGCCGTCCGGCCCGCGCCGCTCGAGGCCGGGGGCCCGGGGCTGGCGCCCGCCCCCAGCCCCAGCCGCCCCCGCCCCAGCGCGGGCGCCCGTCCCCAGAAGCCACAGGTGGGCGGGGGCCGGGGGCGGGGCCGGCGCTGGCGGCCACCCCCACGGCAGGTGCGCCCCGGACCCTCCCGCCGGGGGGTGGGGGGGTGGGGGGGGGTGGCCGAGGGCCTGGCCTCCCGGGGCTCCCCGCCGCCGCAGCCCCTCCGTCCTCGGCTGCTGCCCAGGAGTTCCGCCCCTGCCCCCGAGGGGAGCGCCACCCCTGCTCGGGGCCGGGCGGGACGCCCCAGAGCGACACCCTCCTCCCCTCGGGCCCCCTGGCCCCGGGGATCCGGGTGGACGCCGACCGCCCCTGACCCCGGCTTCTCCTCCCAGACCTGGGGCTCTCCTCCTGGCTCCCGGCTGACCGCTCCATGAGGAAAAACAACATGTGGTTTCTGGACCGGCTTCGTGGCTCCGGGGAACCTGGTGCCGCCCGCGGAGTTGGGGGCGAGTCGGGGGACAAGGCCTCCCAGGGGCCCCGGTACAGCAACGTGCTGACGCCCGACAAGATCCCTGACTTCTTCATCCCTCCCAAGCTGCCCTCAGCCCCCGCCGAGGCCGAGGGGCCTGCCGAGCTGGGCCCGTCCACCTCAGAACAGAACCTGGCCACGGCCGCACCCCGCCGCGCGCCCCGGAGCCCCCGGCTGCCCGCCAAGCTGGCTGCAGAGAGCCGGAGCCTGCTGAAGGCGGCCACCAGGCACGTCATCCAGATAGAGAGTGCGGAGGACTGGCCGGCCGAGGAGGCCACCGGCGCTGACCCCCAGACCCAGGGAGCCATGTCCCTGCCCTCGGTGCCCAAGGCCCAGACGTCCTTCGGCTTCGCCACGCTGGCCGAGAGCCCCCACACCCGGCGCAAGGAGTCCCTCTTCCACAGTGAGCATGGGGCCCTGGCCCAGGTGGGCTCCCCGGGCACAGGGCGCTCGCGGGCCGGCACCAGGGCCCCTGGGGGCGAAGCGGGGCCCAGGGAGGCCGGGGGGGCCCTGAGGAGCCCCAGCCGCTGCTTCAGCGGAGGGGAGAGCGACACAGGGTCCTCAGCCGAGTCCTCCCCCTTCGGGTCCCCGCTGCTGTCCCGCTCCATGTCGCTGCTCAAAGGCTTCGCCCAGGATGGCCAGGCCAAGGTGAGCCAGCTGAAGCACTCGGTGGGCCGCCACGGCTCTCTGTCAGCGGACGACAGCACGCCGGACACCAGCCCTGGAGTCCGTCGCCGCCTGACCCGCCGGGCCGCTCCCGAACCGGGCCCCGAGTCGGGCCAGGCGCCCCGAGGGGAGCACACGGTCCGGATGGGCCCCAGGGGCAGTGTTCGGCTGCTGGCCGAGTACGAGGCAGCCCAGGCCCGCCTGCGGGTGCGCCTGCTGGCCGCAGAGGGCCTCTTCGAGCGTCCGTACGACGGCCGCAGCATCAACTGCTGCGTGGGCCTGTGCCTGGTGCCGGGCAAGCTGCAGAAGCAGCGCAGCACCATCATCAAGAACAGCCGCCACCCGGTCTTCAACGAGGACTTCTTCTTTGATGGCCTGGGGCCCGCCAGTGTCCGGAAACTGGCCCTCAGGATCAAGGTGGTCAACAAGGGCAGCAGCCTCAAGCGGGACACGCTGCTCGGGGAGAAGGAGCTGCCCCTCACCTCCCTGCTTCCCTTCCTGTGAGGGGCAGAGGGAGGGGCCCACTCCTCCACGTGGGCCTGACCACAGTGCTTCTGGGGGCCAGGGCAGACAGGGAGGTGGGCCTGGCTCGATGCCCCTGGGCTTTCTTGGATCCCAGTGGAGATCAGAATGTGATTTTTCGTGAAATGACCCTCTTGGAGGAGGAGGAGGGGCTGCTTCCCAGCTGCACGTCCCCTCCCCTCTCCCGGGCAGTGACTGCGGTTCTCAGGGTCTGGGAGTCCAGAGGTGGCCTGAGCCCTGGGCCTGAGCTCAGCCTGGCCTCTGCTGCTCCACCTTGCTGCACCCCGCTCTGCCCAGACACCCCGGGAGCAGTGCCTGACGCCCTCCTGGGCCCCGAAGTGAAGGGCAGGGGTGCCCCTCCCTGTGTCTAGAGCCGGGAGGGCCTGGAGGAGGAACCGGGGTGACCTGCAGCCCCTGCGGCCAGCTCTGCTCCCCCAGGCTCTGCTCAGCCCTGGCTTCTGGTGCAGGAAGTAGAGCTGTTCCCGGGGAGTGCCTGGAGCCAGCCGCAGTGGAGTTCTTGCCACGCTCTGCCTGTGGCCCCTCGGTGTCCCTGGGGATCCTCCACCTGCCTGCTGGCCACCCCTGGGTCAGCCCTCCCCCACACATGTCATGGGGTTGGGCTGTTTGGGGTGGGATCTGGACGGCGGGGCGGGCCTGACTTGGTTCTTCACAGGGTTCTTGGCTGGCCACGGGTCTCCCTGGGTTGGCTGTGCACCCTCGGAGGACTTCTGTGGGGATTCCCACATTCTGCAAGTCGGTGTGGCAGGCTGCCYGTGGGCAGTGAGTCGGTAGGACCCCGGTGGAGCCCCCTGCTTGGCTGTCATCCCTTGTGCACCTTGTTCCTCCTGACCCCAGATTTCCAAGTCCCACCAGGGAGGTGCGGAGCAGACTCCCCGGGACCCCAAGCCTGTTCTTGCTGCATGTCCCAGGAGGGGCTGCCTGGAGCTGCTGGTCCCTGCCTGGTCCCCTCTTCTGTGCATCCTGGAGCATCGAGGGCCCAGGCCTGCAGTGGGGACAGCCAGCAGAGGCCCGTGTGAGGTTGAATGCTTGGAACCACACGCCTCCCTTCTCGGACTCTGTCCTCTCCTGTTCCAGGTTCTCCCTGGGGGCCCCCATTTCATGTACCCCTGCACTGTTTGATAGCTGTGTGTTTGAAGTTGGCTGTGGATAATCCTCACGGCACCTCCCCCACACGTGTGTGTTCATCAACGCTGTGTTTAGTTCAATAAAGGTGTTTCAGGAGTGCAGAGGCGAGGTCTGCTGGCTCTGCTGTCTGACAGTGAGGGGAGCTCGCTGGGGAGGTGCCAGGCCTCCTGCCAGCAGGTCTGGGCCCGGGATACTGCCCACGCCTCCAGCCTCACCAGCGCCTCCTCCAGCAGCCCCCAGCAGGGCTTGGAACCTGTGGGCTGGCACCTCACCCTGTTCCTCGCCGCTTCTCACCTGGGCAGGCCCCCGCCCTTCCTGTGGTGGGCTGCAGAGACCGGGGGCCGGGCTGCGTGTGTGGAAGCCCCCTTCCCTGTCTCAGATCTGGACGCTCTCGGGGTCCCTGGGCCTGGGGAAGGGGTCTTTCCTCTGCGGATCCCTCTTCTCCTCACGGCGTCAGCGGGCGGGTGGTTCAGGGTCAGGAGGGTCACTTGGGTCCCAGCTTCTCCCTGGTGCAGGGCCCAGGAGGTGCCAGGAGGGCCCTCCCACCCCGTCCTCTTGCTGGGGTGGGGAAGGCTGCCTCTGTCCCCACCCCGGGGTGTGCCCCTTTATGGGTGGGGAAGGGAGGTGCAGAGGACAGGGCTGGCTGGCCTTGAGGTAGGACCCTCCGAAGAGCAACCCGCAGGACTGGGCGGGTGGCCCCTGGCTGAGGGCTCAGAGTGGGCCCCACTGACTCCAACCACAGCCCTTTGAGCTTCTTCAGACAGGCCCTGACCCCCACTGCCCTCCCAGGGCCCTGTGTCTCCTTGTGCTCCAAGGGCGGAACTGTGTCCCCTCGCCCTGGGCAGCACCGTTTCCCCTCTGCCCAGGCTGGGTCCCGGCCCCTTGGGTCCCCTTGCTCAGCCCTGGACACAGACTGTTAGACTCCTCAGGGAGCCACCTAGGAGCCAAGTGCAGAGTCAGGGTCCAGTGTAGTCCCCCTCCCACCACCCGCTGAGTTGAGCAGTTGAGCAGCGCTAAGGAGGCCTGGTTGGCCCAGGATGTGTTGCCAGGGCAACGAGAGCCGTCTTGCCCATCCCCGCCAGCCGCTCCTCACTGGGCCTCCTGTGTGCTCACTTGATGGCATCTGTGTGCTGGCATATTCCAGGAAGGCACGCGCACGTCACCATCGAGTCCGTGTGGGCAGCGTGACTGTCATGCATGTCAGGACCACGTGTGTGAGCAGGTGCACCGCAGGTCCACTGCGGGGTGCACTGTGCACCAGGGCTGCCGTGCGTCACCATGAGCCGTGTGCTGTCTGTGCACACTCGTCGGTGCCCCTTCTCTGTGGACAGGCATGTGCCTGTGACGCATGGCCACGGGAGTCCTGCAAAGCCAGCCGTGATGTGTGTGCCACCCTGGCCCTAGAGCACCTGGCCTGGCCTGAGCCCTGCTCTGTGCTCCCAAGCCCTTCCCTTACCATCTCCCTCTGTGTGAGTGGTCCCGACTTTGCCTGCTCCCAGGGCAGCCCCCAGTGAGGTCAGACCCCTGGCTGCCCTGGCCAGCCTGCCCTGCCGTCTGTGACAGTGGTCCTGGGCAGGACCACTGACATCTCACCTGCAGTGACCTGAGGCCTGGGGCTTGGCCCACCTGTGGTGTGATGTGGCAGGTCAGCCTGTTCCAGCCTGATGCCCTCCTGCATCTTCCCACCTGCCAGAGGCAATGGGCATCCAGGTGGCCTCTGACCTCAGGCAGGGCCCTGTCTCCTCTCTGACCCCCAGGTGGACCCTCACCTGTCATGGGGAGCACAGGCGGTGAGATTCAAGTCCCCAGCTGTCCACTAGCCTTGTGACCTGGGCCAACTGCTCCTGGGTTGGGAGCTCAGTCCACAGACTCAGCAGGCGCCAGCCCAGCAGTGAGGATGGGAAGGTCCTCGGGTCAGGTCTCACTGCAGGCCGCCTCAGGCCACGGGGGCTGGGCCCCGACTCTCACCCCGGGTGGGGTTCAGGTAGCAGGGGAGGGAGGGAGGGAGGGAGGGAGGGAGGGAGGGTGGCCCGCCCTCGGCCGACAGGATGACAGGAGGCGGCCGTCCTCAGGAGAGTCCTGGCTTCACGGCTCATGGCCACCTGGACTGTGCCAACTGTGGAGGTGCCATGGGGCTTCTAGACTGGCCACCTGGACTGTGCAGCTGTGGAGGTGCCATGGGGCTTCTAGACAGGCCACCTGGACTGTGCCAACTGTGGAGGAGCCATGGGGCTTTTCCTGAAGCCAGCCCTGGACAGGGCAGGGAGGGCCTCTGGTCTCCTGGAGACTTAGACGCCTGCTGGCCACTCCCTGCTGAAAGCTGGGCCCCCCGATGGCCCCTGCAGTGGCTCCAGGGCTGTCACTAACCCACTGTCTCCCAGAGGTGGACTCAGTCTTCCCGGGAACTCAGGCTGAGCCAGCATGGGGTGCAGCCGAGCTGGGTGGCAAGGGCACTGGCTCTCCTGGGCCTTCAYTCTCCACTCACCTCAGCGCTGGCACCTGCTGGGTTGGCGTGCGCCCCACCTACAGCTTGGGAGAGCGGCCTCCCAGTCTCCATGCAGACCAGTGCTGCTGTGCCCAGGCACCTGGCCACCAACCCTTGAGGAAAGGAAGCGGCTCTTTCCCATTCAAGAGTTGAGATTCGGAGCTTCCTGGAAAAGGAAGCCCAGGACAGCACTGAGGCCTGAGGGGGCTGAGGCTCTGTCCTATGGGGTGGGCAGAGAGGGCTGAGGCTCTGTCCTATGGGGTGGGCAGAGACGGCTGAGGCTCTGTCCTATGGGGTGGGCAGAGAGGGCTGAGGCTCTGTCCTATGGGGTGGGCAGAGAAGGCTGAGGCTCTGTCCTATGGGGTGGGCAGAGAGGGCTGAGGCTCTGTCCTATGGGGTGGGCAGAGAGGGATGAGGCTCTGTCCTATGGGGTGGGCAGAGAGGGCTGAGGCTCTGTCCAATGGGGTGGGCAGAGAGTGTGAGGCACTGTCCTATAGGGTGGGCAGAGAGGGCTGAGGCTCTGTCCTATGGGGTTGGCAGAGAGGGATGAGGCTCTGTCCTATGGGGTGGGCAGAGAGGGCTGAGGCTCTGTCCTATGGGGT